TAAGTAGATTTTTAAAATGACTTCAAGGCCAGAGGCACTTCCTGCATGTATGCAGAGTTATTGTTATTGTTAGTATTAGTATTGCTATTACTACTATTTGGTTTGGTTTTGGTTTTGGTTTTGGTTTTGGTTTTGGTTTTGGTTTTGGTTTTGGCTTTGGCTTTGGTTTTGGGTTTTTTTGATACAAGATCTCAAAAATATGTAGTCCAGGCTGTCTTGGAACTGTCTATATAGACCAGGCTGGCCACAAACTCACAGAGATTTGCCTACCTCTGCCTCCTGAGTGCTGGGATTAAAGGCATGCATCACTTTGTCCAGCTTGTGTGGGTTGCCTTGGCCATGATGTCTCTTCACTGCATTAAAACCCTAAGACAATCCCATAGTGTTAAATATTATAAGGAAAAAATTAAATATAAATGGAACAGAATATTCAGGAAGAGGACTCAGAAATTTTAAGTAGGTTCCATAAAAAGTCAACTAAGCTGGGGGTGGTGGTACATTATCTGTGATCTGGGCACCCAGAAAGATAATGTCAGGATTCACAAATCCAAGCCCAGCTCTGGCTATGTGTTTGTTCTAGGCCAGCCTTGGATGCATGGTGAAACTTAAATTTAAATTTTAAAAAATATTTTTAAGATACAAGTGAGTAAAGACCTGGAAGCAAGTAAAGGCAGAGAACAAGCCGATGTGAGGTCCCCAGTGGGTGTCTGGAAGGTGGGCACTCATAGTAGGCTTGCAGTAAAGGATGCCCAATCTAGCAGGTTCATTCTCATTGCTAGGCCAAAGAAGCCTGATTCAAGACAAGGTGGGCACAGACAGCAGTTTGAAAACTATCAGCATAACTTGGGCAGTATGAGGATGAGTGAGAGGGGGGAAGCAAGCACCCTGGGGGGAGGAAGTGAACAGGGGGGTATGAGCACCCTGGAGGGGAGTGAGCACCCTGGGAGGGAGGGAGCACCCTTGGGGTGTGTTTTGTTGAGGGTTTTGGGACTTTTTGGTGTTTTGTTTAGTTTTGAGACAAACTCTCTATGTAGTACCAGCTGTCCTGAAACTTGGTATATAGACCAGGCTGACCTCAAAGTCACAATGATCCTCCTGCCTCTGCCTCTTGAGTGCTGGCATTAAAGGTATGCACCACTATTCCAGAACTGGGCCCCTTTGAAGGAAGATGTTAGAAGGTTTGCAAGAGGACTGAGAGTGTGGTGGAAGGAAGGGAAGCTAAGGCTTGGGTCTCAGGCAAGGCCAGGTCCAGGGCTGCTTTGAACTGTTTAGATGCTCCTCAGATGCCAGTGGGACTCTCAAGTTGGCAACTCCCTATTCAAGTCCAAGGTTTGAGGTGGGTTCCAAGCTAGAACAATAAATTTGAGCATTATCAACACATAAGTAGTTTTAAATGGTACTAATTCCATAAAATGGAGGAAATCACCAGGACAGAGTTCCAAGGACTGGCACCTGGAGAAATCCAGTTCTAAGTATGTGGGGATAGAATGGGTCCAGCTAAGGAGACCAGGAGTGACCAGGAAAATATGGGACAGCCACATGATGGAACATTTGGAAAGATCAGTTGGTGGAGATATGACTACTGAAGATGTCTTTCAGACACGCACATCAGTTAGACTAAAGGCTGCTCAATAGTAAGAAAAGTGTGTGTGTGTGTGTGTGTGTGTGTGTGTGTGTGTGTGTGTGTTAGAAAATAAGCTTCCAAGAAAAAAGACTCAACGTTGCAACACTTAGGGTTTCCTAGTTTCACAACGGCCCCGTGTCCATCACCACAGGGAATCGTTTATTACTGCTCCTTAGTCAGATCCTCATCTCACAGAGATGTTAGCGAGATCAACGTGATGCAAGTGGAAAATATTCTGATTCTCTGTGAGATGAGTCAATAAAAGACTGGACTGAGTTATATAGTGAACTACCTGCTAAAAACCACTTCTATGTATAGAAGAAATCTGTATCAGCTTGTGTGCATGTGTGTGTGAGTGCATGTGTGTATGTGTACATGTGTCTTGTGCTTGTGCATCCATACGTGTTTATGTGTGAGTGTGTGTGTGTGCGTGCACAGATTTACTCGTGATACCATGTGAAATGGAGGTTATTTGTAAGCATATTCATCACATTGTCTTAAATCATCTGATTCACTAGGCACCAGCTAAGACACCTGGCTTCTGACTCTCTTGTGAGCGAATGTGTTTTGTTTAAATCACCTAACTGAGGTTAGAGAAGGGGAGGAGAGGCAGATGCATCTTGGCTGGAAGTCCTCAAACACAGACATCCGGCCTTCACTCCAGCTTTTACTGAATACTGGGCTGCCAGACCAATAAGCCACAAAGAAGAGAAAATAGAACTGGAAATCAAAATAAGCACCAATCTTTATCTTACTGTAAACACACACATATGTGTGTATATATAGCGTTTATGCCATATAAAAGGGTTATCTGTTGGTAGAGCTGTACTTTAATCCATTCTGAACAAACCTGGGTATTTTTCCAGACATTCTTATGCACGCAAATCTTACTTACCCTAAAAACATTTTGCAAACCAGTTCTCCAGCAAATTGAGATGCATGTACGTCATGTGGTATCATTATACTATACAATATATATATATATGCTACAGAAGCTTATAGAGTTCAATCTATAAGCAAATCTGGTAAAGACTGAGGCATTGTCATTCTTAGGAGCTGCGTTTCACAGCTACATACTGTGAGACACACCGAAATGCTGTGCTGAATATAAATGATAGTGAGCTCGTTCTGGTGAATATGGGTGACTTGTACATAGCCTTGGCCTATTGACTAATCTTCAACAGTCAAATGCACATCCTGTAAATTCAAGCGCACCTGTATCCAATGCTTTGGTCTGTTTACAGCCTCCTTCTGTCTGGCACTATTCAATGAAAGCTATATATATTTTTAAAAAAAGTTTCCTTTCCATTACTACAGGAAGAAAAATTTCAAAAATTAAGCCACAAAAACATGCCATTAAAAAAAAATAAAAAAGACCATGGCATGTCCCAGGTCTTCTCTTTGTTGTAAGTCTGAAAGCAGCTAGCATCCGACCAGCGCATCAAATCAAAGGCATAGACTTTCTTCAGACACTTAAGCGTGATTGCTATCATAAAAATATTCCATAGCCAGGCACAGTGGTACACAATTACAATACCATAGCCAGGCACAGTGTACACAATTACAATACCATAGCCAGGCACAGTATATACAATTACAATACCATAGCCACCCCCAGTGTACACAATTACAATACC